AGAACCTTTCAATTCCTTTGATGGAATAAGCAGAGGGTTAGAAAGTTGCTTTGTTGGGGCAGAGCCACTGACCCCACTTCCGATTTTATTTCCAGTGAACAGACGCTTCTGTTTATATCCCCTTTGCCCATCGAGCTACACAACAGACCTAAAAAGAGAGGGGGGGAAACAGCAGTCAATACAGGTACCATAAGATAGAAATTTGACTGTGGATGCCACAGCCAAGGCAGCCCTAGGTTGCATCACCAGGGGGATTTAGGTTTTAAGATCATGTGAAGTGTTACTACTGCTTTACACTGCACTGGTGTGGCCACACTTGGAGAACTACATCTAGTTTTGGTCATGATATAGAAAAATTGTGGAGGCCCTAAAAACAATGCAGGAAAGAGCATGATAACTAGGGAAATAGAGGATAAAACTTAGGATGAACAGTTGCCAGAACCAGGTATGTCTACTCTAACAAAGAGGAGGACTAGGGGACATGATCGCTGTCTTCGAGAACTTGAGAGGCTATCACAAAGAAGAGGGGGTTGATTTGATATGCTGTCATATCACTAGGGGTGTTATGATAGAAGTGTTCCAATATTTGAGAGGCTGCCACAAAGAAGGGGGAGTGTCAACCTATTGCCCAAAGACCCCAAAGGCTGGAGAAGAAGTAACAGATGAAATTTAAGAGAGATCCAACCTGGAACTAAGGAGAAATTTCTTGAAAGAACAATTCATTAGTGCAATGACTTGTCTCCAGAGGTTGTGGGTGGACACAAACTGGAGATTTTCAAGAAGAGACTAGACAACCATTTGTCCAGGATGGTATAAGGCAGGGGTGTCAAACTCATGTCATCATGGTGTCATGTGACACATTGGGACTTTCCCCTCCCTTGCTAACCGAGCAGGGGTGGGGGCAGCACATGACACATCCAGGCCGGGGGCCATGAGTGTGACACCCTTGGTATAAGGTTACCTGCCATGAGCACAGGGTTGGACTAGAACAGGGGTCTCCAACCTTGGCAACTTTAAGACTCCCAATTCTGGGAGTTGAAGTCCACAAGTCTTAAAGTTGCCAAGGCTGGAGACCCCTGGACTAGACCTCCAAAGCCCCTTCCAGGCCTATGATTCTATGTCTATGACTCCCCAAAATGCTCAGCTCTTTCCTAATGACAATTTGGCCTCTTTGGAGATTCCTTCCACAGCCAATGATTCTATGATTCCAAAGGCAGACTCCAAGCAGGATAGCAGATATTGCAGAATCAAAAAATAAAAGTTGGAAGGGATCCAATGCCTTGCTCAAGCAGGAGATCTTATACCTTTTCCAACAAATAAGAGCAATTTGGAAGTAGAGTCAGGGATGTTCCTTGGACTGTTCAAGAGGAAGCTGGATAGCCATCAATGGACACCCAGGAAAAACTCATTCTGTCTTCTGCTTTAATGCTTCTCTCTCTAGGATTTCTTCTCCTTCCTTTTTCTTCTCTGAAAGGCCAGCCTGTAGAGCCCCCTTGCCTTTCTCTATGCTCCTTTCTCTTCTGCACCCTCCATTGCCTGTTTTTCTTCAGCTCCTTTGTCTGCAGAGCCTCCAAAACGGGCGCCTCCTCCATTCTCCTCCCACACCTGTGTCAAGGTTGCAGCTTTATTGGCAGCCCTGCCCTGCTGACGCTGGGGAAAATCTCCGAGGAAGGGGAGGGAAGTGGCACAGAGGACCTGCCATTCTTCTAATTAGCCTATTCTTTCATAAACCTGCAGGTGGCAAAATGCTAAGGTGTCCATTGCAAGACAGTCATGGCTTAAGTCCTCCATCCAGTCACAGCTATGCCCACTAAGTTGGAGGAATGTCATTGCATAAGATGAACGATTATCATTACAAGCAGGCAGAATGACAGAAAAACAGAGTCGAAGGGCACTTGGAGGCCATCTACTCCAACCCCCGGCTCAAGGAAGAGACCCCTATCCCATTCTGGACAAATGGCTGTCCAGTCTCTTCTTAAAGACCCCCAGTGATGGAGCGCCCACAACTTCCGAAGGAAGCGGTTCCACTGATTAATTCTTCTCACTATTAAGAAGTTTCTTCTTAATTCCAGGTTGTTTCTCTCCTTGATTAGTTTCCATCCATTGCTTCTTGTTCTGCCTTCAGGTTCTTTGGAAAATAAATTGACTCCCTTCTCTTTGTGGCAGCCCCTCAAATATTGGAATACTGCTATAAGTTCTCGACTTATAACCATTTGTTTAGTGACTGCTCAAAAGTTATAACAGCAGTGAAAAAAAATGACTTCTGGCCATTTTTTCACACTTCAAACCATGATCAGCATTTGGATGGTTGGCAACTGGGGGGAATTTATTGCGGTCCTATTATCCTGGCATCCTGTGATCACCCATTTAGAACCTTCCCAACTGGCTTCTGACAAGCAAAGTCAATGGGGAAAGCCAGATTCACTTAACAACTGCAGCTTCGTTTAATAACAGTGGCAAAAAGGTTGTAAAATGAGGCACTGTCTTAACTGCCTTGCTTAGCATCAGAAATTCTGAGCTCAGTTGTGGTCACAAATCTTGGACTATCTAAAGAGTGTCTTTAAGCTGATCTGGAGCCAAGGTTGCTGAAGGCCACAGATACAGTTCGCATCATTGGCAAGAAGGCAGAGAGACCAAAACTTGTCCCAGGCAGCCTTCTTCTCCCAGTGTCCCATCTTTTTCGTACCATCCCTCCCTTTCGGACTCTTACATTAGTAGATTTTAGGGTTATTGTATTTTCACTTCATGAAAGGATTCATAAGTATGCATTGCAGACTGCTATTTGTGGTTTTCTGCAACAGGGAAATAGCAGGTAGCTCCTGAATTCAGTTGTTGTTTCTATCAGGAGGTTTCAAACTCAAAAACATCTGCCATTCCAAAATCCATGTCTAAAAGTCACTACCTAAGTTAGAGGTGTCCAACCTTAGCAACTTTAAGGCTTGTGGAGATCCACAAAATCTTAATGTTGCTAAGGTTGGACATTCCTGGCCTAACCTAATGTTGAATTCTCTCTTAAAACATGTCTAGCGAACCCCAAGAATCAGTTCTCTAGTAGGACACTACTCTGGAGCTCATGGCAACTAAGCATCTATACAATGTTGGCCACTCCCCTCCTCCCTGCACCAATCAGGACACGGCCTTGACCACACCCTCCACCCACAATTTACTTGCTACCCCATAAAAGCTTCCTGGTGGGCATTATGATTAGTGTGGGTGGATGAGACTGCATATCTGGAGTTTGGCCCCCAGCTTGCATTTATAAGAGTCTGGGGTGTCCCATGGTCACATGACCACATTTTACAACGGTTTTGTTGAAAACAGGCATTTATTCCTGGTGGTTTTGTGTTGTTTTTTTGCTGAAAACAGGCATTTATTTCAGGTTTTCAACAAAAAGATCCATAGGGAACAATGGGTTTGTTTTATGAACATGGAGTTCCCTTTATGACCGCTACAAAAAAGGTGGCAAAAATGGGTCTGCCCAATCATATGTTGACCTGCTTTATAACCGTTATGAATTACAAGGACTGATAGCAGTGTTCCAATATTTGAGGGGCTACCAGAAAGAAGAGGGGGTCAACTTATTTTCCAAAGCACAAGAAGGCAAGACAAGAAGCAACTAAGGAGAGAAGCAACCTAGAACACAGTAGAAATTTCCTGACACCGAGAATGATTAATCAGTGGAATGACTTGCCTTCAGAAGTTGTGGATGCTCCATCACTCAAGAAGAGACTGGACAGCCACTTGTCTGAAATGGTGTAGGGTCTCCTGCTTGTTGGACTATATGACCTCCAAGATCCCAACTCATGTTATTCTTCAGCCTCTGTTAGGGACATAAGTCAAGGACTATCTTGTAAATAAAATAACTTTTATTGTTTTCTTTTTTAGTGGGTGGAGGGAGGCTTATCAGTAAAATATCACTTTAACCACTGCAGATTAAAGCCAAATGCCTCTAGCAACTGATTGTTGCACAATTCATTGATTAACAATAGTAATTGTAGCATTCATTCTGAACCTTTACAAAGCTATTGTATAGTTCCTTAGTAAGGGAAACTAGATCAAAAGAAAAACACAATTATTGTGAAATTCCAGCCAATAATATTAGTTCACAAGTTAATGATCAACCGGGAAAACCAATATTTTGAACTAAAACAAATCAAACCTATCTTCTTACTAGCTTTCAAGGTGCCTTAGGTCTATGTAATGTGTTTGTTGTTGTTGTTGTTATATCTCTAGGTTGTTTTTGAGGACAGTAAGAGCACAATTGTGCAATTCCATTTGCCATGTTTTGTGAGGGGGAAAAGTAGCTCCACCCTGTGTCCATTTTTCACAGAGAACGTGATTTTTCTATGACCCACGACAGAACTGGAACGAACCATGATCCAAGGTTCTGTTTCACCACCATCCCTCGTGCTTGAGGTTAAAGTTGTTTCTTTCCTACAAGAGGAAAGAGGGATGTTCCGATTGGAGTCTGGTTGCCAAAGAAGGAAACAGACCGGTGAGGTCTGTGAAGCAGCCTTCAGTTCAAGGGAGAAGGTCCCATGCCGAGGACACCAAGAAAGTCACAGCAAGCAGGCAGCAGAGTATGGGCCATACTCCCCCTCAATGCCTGTCCTGCAACAGGGCCATCCAGGCTGGAGGTGGCTCTCCGTTAACCTAGAAGAGAGGGAGAGGGAGAGGAGGTTGGAGGGCCCACCTGAGATACCAATCTCCCATGGAGCTTCTACGGTGAGGTCCCTCAAGCTCTCGCCTCGATTGGAACCTCCTTTCCCCACAAATGCCAGAGGCTGTGGCGTCCTTGTCCGTCCCTGGCCCTTCTCTCCATAAGCCTTCCTCCTCTCTCTTCCTCTCCCCCATTTTCGCTCTCCCTCCCTCCCTCCTAACGCACTTTGTGAACTGCTGTCGCAATGCCGAAGTCCAAAGTTCAGCTACTTGCCTAAGCACACAGATAAATATGAACCTTGGAGAATTTGCATTGCTCCAATGTAAACAGAGAGGCGAGGGTCCCTTTATCAGGACTGGCTCAGGACAGTGGTGGGGGGACTGAGGCAGCTTTTCCTTTCCTTTTTGTTTTCTTTTTTGTCTCGGGGAAATTGGGACTGGGGGTGCACCAGAAGAAGACCTGCGGCCATTTCTACTCCACTGACAGCTGGACGGCCGGCTTCGGAAGCATGATGTAGCCCCCCAAAAGCAGCTCGGTGGCAAAAGGCGTGGGACGCGCAGGTTCCAGGCGAGGAGGGCCGTCGGGACCATGGTCTCCAAACTGACCCATCTTCAGGTGGAGCTGCTGGGAGCCCTGCTGGAATCGGGGCTTAGCAAGGAGACCCTGATCAAGGCTCTGGCGGAGTCCGAACTGCACCACCACAGGGAGAGCCAACAGCTCGGGGCGGCCCTCCAAGGGGAGAAGGGGGAGCCTTGCGGCGAGATCCCGCATCTTCCCAATGGAATGGGGGAGTCCAGGATGTCGGAGGAAGAGACCTCGGACGAGGGGGAAGATTTCACTCCTCCAATCATGAAGGAACTGGAAAACCTGAGCCCAGAAGAAGCCGCTCACCAGAAAGCCGTGGTGGAGAGATTATTACAGTAAGAGCACCTCTTGCCTCTCGTCTTCTTCTCCTCGCCCTTCTCTCTCCCTTCGTCCGTGGCTCTTGTCTTCTTCCTCCTTCACTTGGGGACCCCTTCCCCCCCAATAGGATCCCTCTGAAGGAGGCATTGGCTGGGGAGGATGGAAGGTGCAGTCCAACGCGAAGGGAGAGGGGCCTGGTGAGAGAAAGATGACCCCAGGAGTAGTTTAGGGATCCCAGCTAACCTAAACTTCAGAGGTTTATCCCAAGGCTGACCATGAGATCCAACTTCGACCGCTCCATGACATCCTGAAAGAGGGTGGAGGGGCAATGGACATTTCAGGCACATCTGGGGGGGGGGGGAATCCTTTCTCAGTAAAAGCAGAAAACAACCTTCCACATTCTGTTCTTTGGGGGGGGGGGGCATTTCAAATATTGCTCGGAGCAAACTGCATGCAGGAACCCCGTAGAACCCAACAGGGAGCAAGCTGTTTATGAAGAGCTGCGAAGAGCTGTGTTGATGGCAGAAGTACCTTTCACCTGTACTAATTGTAACCCACAGCACACGATGAAGCGAGTTGCACAAATACACAACTTACAAAGCGAGTTACTCTACAACTAACCAGCTTAAAAACAGGTAGCTGAATTTTGGGAGGGGGAATAATCCCATAGGATTAATTCAAGCCTTTGTATGAGGCCCCTCTTTTCTTGGGCAACGCGTTTGGGGGGACACATTTTGCTGCCTGACATTAGCACTGTGACTGCTCCCCCCACCCCCAGTCATGACTCCTGACAGTTTCTGTACAGGATAGAAACCCCTCCCCCCAATGCCTCTTCCCCACCTTATATTGCTTTCATTCTCCTGGATCAATGCAGGGGCTGTTTCCTGACACTGTTTTACGCTGGTTTTTTATTCTTTTCTAAAGGGCTGATTCAGGCCATCGCTAAAGTGTGGGTCGTAGGTCTGTCTGGACAAAAACTGAGGAGTCTCATACCAGGCATGTTATGAAAGGCTCCCCTGGAAAACGTGAAGCCCACACGAGCCCCTGGAGGTCTGTTGGGAGCAGCCCTCTCTCTTTCCACACCGGGCAGGGGATGATGAGTGCAAAGGCAGACGCCCCTCTTCCAGAAGGAAGGGAAGAGAGAGAGAGTGCGGGAGTCCAGAAGCCCTTCTGCCCCAGAGATTGAGGGAGCTCCCCTCCCTAGCAAAGGACAAGCATGTCCTAGATGGGATCCTTACCTGTGGTGCAAAGCAGACAAGCTCTGGGCTTCTTCCTCCTCTTCCTCTGTGGCAGCTAGGGAGACCTTCCCCACTCGTCACCTCCCTTCGCTAATTCCCCTCCTGGGCTTCAGCTTCCAGGCTACCTGCCCTTCAGGTGACCCCTTCTTCTCGTCCCCCAAGTCGCCCTGACTCTGCCTGGAGATCTAGGGTCAGCTTGGTTCCCAACGTTTCAGGACTGGACTGGTTACTAATTATCCAGTGGCTTTATTATTTCTCTTTTGTCTTATACATTTATAAACGAAAAGGCTCAGATAAGCCTTTTGATCATTAACTTCTGATGATTTATCAGGTGTCTCTTCTTAGAGGAAAGCACAGAAGCCAGAGAACACCTGTCCTGCAAAGGGTCCTGGGAAAGCAGCAGGGCAGAAGGGGAGGGGAGTGGGGGGGGGTCAGCACTAGGCCAGGTGTTAATATATAGAATACTTATTCCATTCTCAGGAGCCGACGTATTTTAAAACATGACCTGTAGCTAGCTTTTGAATTCCTCACACCTTACAAAATTGATTACGAGTAGTCCTTGACTTACAACCATTTGTTCAAAGTTACAAGAGCACTGAAAAAAGTGACTTATGATCATTTTTCACCCTTACAACCATTGCAGCATCTGTGATCAAAATTCACGTGATCAAAATTTGGCCGCTTGGCAACCGACTCAGATTTACGATGGTTGCAGAGTCCCTGGGTCACGTGATCCCCTTTTGCGACCTTCTGACAAGTGAAGTCAGGTTCACTTAACAACCACAGTGCTAACTTAACAACGGCAGTGATTCACTTAACAGCCGTGGCAAGAAAGGTTGTAAAAGGGGGCAAAACTCATTTAGCGACTGTCTCAGCAACAAAAATTTTGGGTTCCATGTACCATAGTATTATGTGCTTCTTTTATATATTTTTACTACTGTTATCCAAGTACTCTATGCCATACACTAAATAAAAAAGATAGATAGATAGATGATAGATAGATAGATAGATAGATAGATGATAGATAGATAGATAGATAGATAGATAGATAGATAGATAGATAGAT